CTCAGGAGGTGATCTGGATGTCCCAGATCTTACAACAAATGGGGGAGGGAGAGCTAGGGCAGGAAGCCGCTGACCACAGCTGTGCTTTTAAAAGACAAACTCCAAAAAAAAAAAATGATAATAATAATAATAAAATAAAAAAATAAAAGACAAACCCCAGGCAGATGTTCAGACTACCAGACTCGCTTAAACAGAAGCAGCTGCACTAATAGCTTTCTTGGTGCTATATGGGGGAGCAGACACTTGTCCTTGACTGCCCTTAAGGCACCATGTGTTCCTGAGCAGCATGTCCCAGAGGCACCGAACCTCGCTTATGGTTCACCAGAGTTTGGGAGACATGGGAGTGGTGTCACAGGACAGGAAGTTGGAGGAAAGTTGGGCCCCCTATGTTCACTCCTTGGCTGCTCCGGGGACCCTCCAGCTTGTTCCTAGAGATGGGTGACAGCCAGGGCCAGGAGGGCAGATGCTCTGTCCTCCCGAACGGCGCTGAGTCCTGTGATGACAGATGGCTCCATGCCAGCCCTTATCTCTCTGGCCATCCCAAACAGGAATCACCAGCTTGGCCCAGCCAGGGTCTGGGAGCAGGAAAGGGATGCAGGATGGCTTTTCCACTCCAGGGGAGCGTCCAGAGGGAGTGAGGGAGGGCCTGGCTAAGGAATGCAGGGAGTGTCCTATCTGGGGGAGGTGGGCTGGGGATGGAGCCAGACTTGGAGACAGAAGGGTCTGCACTTGGGAGAGATGGAGAAAGAGCCTTCCCAAGTTCACCACACGGGGCTGAAATCCTTTCAGTGAAAGCCTCACGTCTCACAAGTGGCTTTCTCATGCCAAGCAACTCTTCCCCTGGAGAAGGGAGCCAGCTAGAAACAGTCCCCAAACAAGGGCACAAGAGAAATGTGTGAAATAAAGAGCCCCAGTGCAGCTTCTGATGTTTGTTGGTCATTCTGACACCCCATACTCTCTCCCCCTAGGGCCTGGCCTGCACTGCCCGCCCCCCAGGTTGATGGATGGGGAAACCTGGGGCTGCCTCCTTAGGTGCCTGAGGGAGGGAGATCCACAAACCCCTTCCTGCTCACCCCCAACCAGGCCAACCTCCTTTCCTGGTTCTCTCAAGCCATTTAGGACCCTCTGGAAAGGCTGGTCCTGCTGTCATCCGAAACCGCAATTATGTAATTAATAAACATTTTCCACCGGGAGTGATGGCGCACGCCTGTAATCCCAGCACTCAGGAGGCTGAGGCAGGAGGATCGCTGAGTTCGAGACCAGCCTGGGCTACACAGTGAGTTCCAGAGCAGTCTCAACTACATAGTGAGGCCCTGTTAAAAAAAAAAAAAAAAAACAAGACAAAAAACCACAAACAAACAAACCACCTTTTCCTACCCTGTTGATGTGTACATGATGTCATTCATCTTGACACATATTTTTTTAATTAAAAAGTTTTTCCATTAAGTTTATTGGTACTTTTTAGGTATACAGTACAGTTGCACTCATCATTGGGATCTTGTACCTTTACATGATATCTTGGTTCTCATCTTTGACACATATTTTTTAATAATTTCTTTCCAAGACAGGGTCTTGCTATGTAGTCCAGGCTGACCTGGAACTCACAGCAATCCTCCTGCCTCAGCCTCCCAAGTGCTAGAATTATAGGCATGCGCCACCACACCTGGCTGGTCTTGAGATCTGAATGAAACCCGAGATGGGGCCTTCTGCCCCTGCAGGTGAGCACAGCTACAGAGTGAGCGGAATGTCCTGCCGCAGGAGGGAGTTTTGCTGGAGTACAGCTACAGAGTGAGCGGAATGTCCTGCCGCAGGAGGGAGTTTTGCTGGGCGGGTGAAGGCAGGACGGTCCTTGGGAGTTTGAGGGAGAAGAAAGGCAGAAGAGGCGGGCCTAGTGTTGGTGAAGTGTCCCAGCTGGAGTGTGACAGCGTCGGTATTCCATGCAGGCGGCTTCTGTGCATGGAGCATGGCTGGGGACCAGGTGAGTGCCAGCTGTCTCTTGTCTTCTCAGTGGGGCAAGTTACCCTCTTGCTGCTGCCTTGACTTCCCATCTGTGAAAGGACACAACTGTCGAGCACCCTCGTTCCCCAGCCGGTACTCAAAGCTCCTCGCATCTGCTGAGCTAAGTGGACCGAACCTCTGCTGTTGAGCTCAGGCCACTATCTCTGGCTTGAACTGAAAATGCAGATTACAGGGGAGGGAGGCAGTTAGGAAGGAGGCTCAAAGCCTTGCATGGATTTATCACATTTTCTTCTCCTCAGGTGACCCAGCGTAGGGGAGGGAGGCAGTTAGGAAGGAGGCTCAAAGCCTTGCATGGATTTATCACATTTTCTTCTCAGGTGACCCAGCAGCCCACGTCCCCCCGGTACGGAATCCCTCAGCCTCAGTCTTTCCCTGTGGACCTACAGCGTCTGAGTGAGGGCCTCTTCCAGAAGAGGAACTCAACCTTCCCAGCCTGAACCCATGTTGGGTTACAGTTTAGGGCTGGCGCTGGTGGAGCAAAGGGAGACGTCAGAAGGAACGGCATCTGGCTGCCCCGGGAAGATGACATTGCTAGGAGGGCGGGGAGGGGACACACGGGGCTGCTGTGTGATCTGGGGGTGAGCAGGCTGAGCAGCGGGAAGGGGCAAGG